GAGCCTGCTACCCCGCTATAGATTTTGGAGTCTGTTCTAGCCGATGTTCCCATACAACACTCTCTCCAATTATTGGAGTCACTCTTAATCCTAGTGAAGATTTGAATCTCTCTATTGAGTTACACAAAAAGGTATAATCATGCACACTTCACCCCCTCTATCCCATTTGCCACATCCAAAACGAATCGTTGTCACCCATTTACTATTGAGGCTGCTTTAACTTGTACTAGAAGGCTGCTATCATGGGATGAGATGAATGCCTTTCGGCGCAATCATACTTGGGATATGGTTAATCTTCCTCAGGGAAAGAAAGCAGTGGGTTATAGGTGGATTTTCAACACCAAATTTAACTATGATTGTTCCTTTGAATGCAACAAAGCACAGTTGGTTGCCAAAGGGATTCACAAATTTATGGGGTTAACTATGAAGAAAAGTTTGCTCCATGCTAAGCTATATACTGTTCGGGTCCTGTTTTTCCTAGTCCTAAAGATGGATTGGCCCTTTTTCCAGTTGGACGTTAAGAATGCTTTTCTTAACGACGATCTCACTGAGTAGGTTTTTGTTTCTCTCAATGGGATTTGACTCGACTTATCCCGTTGACAAGTTTGTCGATTGCGAAAGTCTTTCTATTGACTGAAACAATCCTCATGGGCCTGGTTCGATAAGTTTATGCAAGAATTAGTGGGTCATTGTTTCTCTCATGCTCAATCTGATTATATGCTATTTTTTTGTTTTTAGTCTGGTTACCTTATTACCATCCTCATCGTCCATGTCAACGAGATCGTGCTCACGGGTCAGTATGCTAGCCTTGGAGTCTCTCAAGGCCATCCTCACCACGTCTTTTGAGATGAAAGACTTGAGTTCCCTCCAATATTTCTTAGACATGGAAGTAGCTTGGCCCTCTCGAAGCATTTGTCTTTCCCAGCACAATTATGTGATGAATTTATTGGCCGAAACTAATCTACTTCTTTGCAAAATGGTAGCTATCTCAATGGACCCAATGAGAAATTGTTTAAAATTTTTAATGTCGTTGTGGAGAACAAAATAGGCTACCAACTCCTCATGGATAAGCTCATTTACCTTACCAATACGCTTCCAGATATTTTTCACGCCGTTAGTGTTATCAGTCAATTTATGCATGACCTCTACGAGCGCCATCTCACCACCCATTGGATTCTTCACAACCTAAAAGGCATACCGGGCTCGGGTTTGTTGTTAACTCGTTACACTTCTCGCTCTGTTGCGGTTTATACGGATGATGATTGAGCCTGGTTCGTCCATGATCGACGATCTACCTCAGGTTATTTTTCATTCTTGTGGGGGAACTTTGTCACTTGGAAAAGTAAAAAATAGTTCGTTGTTGCTCGTAATAGCGTTGAATCTGAGTTTCGCTTTGTCTTTGGGTGTGTGAAACCCTCTGGCTGGGCATCATGCTCCACGAGTTGCATATGTCTATCAATGTTTCTTTGCAATTTTTTTTTACAATAAAGCCACCATTAGCATTGCTCATAATCCGATCTAACATGATTGTACCAAACATGTGGAGATTGGCCACCAGTTTTATTAATGAGAACTCGATTCTGGAGAGATTAGTGTTTCGTTTGTCATTGACTAATATTCTCACAAAGAATCTTTTTCCTTGCACGTTGTTTGACGATTTCAAGTCCAAGTTGAATATGATTGACATCTAAGCTTCAACTTGAGGGGGGTGATACATATTATATTAGGATTTTATTTATTTCATGTTGTAATACATATTATATTAGGATTTTATTTATTTCATGTTATGTTATATTATTGTTCTTTCATGTGATTTATGGCTAGTTATAGGAGTTTTTATTTTTAGTTTATTTGATTTTATTTTTGTAATCTTGGAGATATGTGTATTATTTTTTCGTAAGTTTTGGATTTTTTCCAAGTATTGGAGATATGAGTGTTATTTCTTTCCTAAGTTTAGGATTCTTTCTTAATTTTAGAAGATATGGGTGTTATTTCTTTTTTGAGTTTAGGATTCTAGTAAGTTGTATGTAAGCCAATATTTTGTATTAATAAAGGTATTCGGCTCAATTCTTCAAACCAACACTCTACATTTTTACCACCCAAAAATTTTCATGTCACATAAAAAATATAAATATTTTAACTTTTAAAAAGTGGAATACACCTGTTCATGCATGGTTAATGTGGTATATATATATATATATATATATAAGCATTGGGTGGTGTATATATATGTATGATAATATTTATAAAAAATCTGCTAGGGTTTCGCCTTTATGGCGAACCGCTGCATCCTTTCGTCGATCATGCTCCGCTCGTTGCTCGTCATTCGTCCCGAGAAGGTTCGTCAAGCTCGGCTTCTGAGGTGTCCTACATGTTCGGCTTCTGCAACTTCTCAGCTGACTCGCCGAAGTCCTTCGTTGTCGTTTGAAGGACTATTTCTGGGCACGGTCTCTCCTCATGCTCGAAGCAGAAGTTTCGCACCTCCTTTGGCTTTTGTTGTTTTTTCCACTGCAACTTCATTGTTCCGAAGTTTGCTCGCCTTTTTCTAACGGCTCGCTTAGCTGCTCTGGAGATGGCATCGACGATCCGTTCCTATGTCACTGCACTTGCCAACGACTTACCTATTCCTACTTGTGCTCCTCCTTCAGGTTCAGAGTCTGGTTTTCGTATTAGCAAGTCCTGTGATGTTCCACAATCTTTCCACGAGGCTCTTGAAGGTGGTGGTGATCACACCTTTATTAAAAAACTTGGTAAAAAAATGGGAAGCCTGCTCTTATTCTCACAGAGGTTGAAACTAGTACTTTCGCGTCTTCTTGGTATTTTGCTCTAGTGGGGAAATTTTTTTATGGTCACCCAAAATTTTAGATTCTTCGAAAAAATTTTGATGCTATGAAGCTCTTGGATAATTGGAATATTTGTTTTCTTGACAGTCGGCATATACCTATCCAGTTATCTCAATATGCTGATTACACTTGCATTTTTTCTCGAAAAGTTATCAAAATCGATAACCGTTTTATGAAAATTCTGAAGTGGATTGAGATTGTCTATTTTGATCCAAAAGCGGAGTCCCATTTCATTCCTGTTTGGTTAAAGTTTTCGGTGTTAAAATTACATTTGTTTAACTTGGAAATTCTCTATTTGTTATCGTTTGCATCCTTATCTAAGGTTAGATATTGCTAAAGATCAGCCACCTACCATCCCTGCTGAGAATGTGCAACCCGATCCTCTTTTCAACACTGCAGTTCCTAATGAAGAGAACCATACTACAGGTACAGATCCAAACGTGCTTATACCACCCACTGTTATTGAAGAAGGCTCACATGCCAAGTCACACGAGAGCGCTCCTTTGATCTAAAAAAAGATCAGCTGGTACAACAAGTAGTTGCTTCTAATGTTCAACAACCTACATATGTTCGGCACACTTTAGATCATTCCACTTATCAGGTGAGCCAATCTTAGGATGAGGAATGACAAGTCTACTCTAGGAGGAGGAAGAAGAATAGAGGCCGACTCGAGCTCGGGAACTTAATGGATGATACATTGGTTACTACTGATAATGACACTCATCTTACCAATTTATTAGTTGTCTGTTTCCCTAGAACTCGAGACAGAGGCAAAGCAAAATTATGTCGTTCTCTAGCTATCTGATACTACGTATTTTGACACTTTTTGGTTTTTTCTTTAGGTCTCTCATGTATTTTTCTGTATTTTCTCTTTTTAGAATCATTTGTGGTTATCGTGTGCGTCGGGTGTCATGATTGGACCCTCTTACACAATCTATCTATATCCTTCTTTCTATTTAATATATTAGCCTTTGGGCTTTCTCCAAAAAAATATATATATATATATATATATATATCTGTGTGTGTGTGTGTGTGTGTGTGTGTGTGTGTGTTTAGGTGTTGGATAGGTAACTACATAGGGGTTAAGTGGCATGTCCGTAAATTCTGCGTTCAAATAATAAAAGGAAATACTCAACTCCAATAATTTGAAGAATATCTCTTGCACGTTCAACTGACTGATTACCCTCCAGCATGATTGTTTTCGTTTTTTGACTTACTATTGCACACTCCTAATTTGGATGACAATAAATATTTTGAAGGTGCATGAACACTGTTGAAAGTCAACATTTTCTTATTAAAAATCAAAAAAATAAAAGGCCAAGAAACTGAAGGTGGGTTGTGATGCTTGCCTTGGCTAGGAGCAGTTCCAGGATTAAATCAGGATAAAGGATTAGTACTATATAAGTATAACTATCAAAGTTTGGGTGTTTGTTATGTAAATATATAGGTATTAAGTGGTGTCTATGCAAATGCCCCAAACTAAACAAGTTAATGTTTTGATCATACGTTTAATAACTAACAATATCAAAGTTTAGGTGTTTGTTATGTAAATATATACGTGTTAAGTGGTGTCTATGTAAATGCCCCTAAGTAAAAAAGTTAATGTTTTGATCATACGTTTAATAACTAACAGATTAATGAAAATTTAGAATCTCTAAGACGCAAGGACTAATATTTGAGGTTTCATATAAATTTTAGATTGCATATAAATTTTGAAAATTGTAAGTATTTAATTTCTAGTAGAAAATTGAAGGCCATGCAATACAGTAAACATCGAAAGTTATCTTTTGGTAAGGAAAATTCAAAATATCCATAATATTCTATTCCGAAAAAATCATGAAGCATGTGATGGCTCAGACTTTCAGCATAATAATTAATAGTGAGATATAAATACATTTTTTTTTGTTGCAACATTTTTCTTCATAGAAATTAAATACTTACAATTTTCAAAATTTATATGCAACCTCAAATATTCTAGTGCATTTTAAACTTGTTGCAACATATAAAAGAAAAATGTTGCATATAAAATTTTCTATTATATAATTTTTGTTGAAGTGCATTTTTTCTTTCCTGGTTTCACCTTATATGGATGTGTCCATACATATTTTTTTTTAATCATGTGGGTTAATGCTTAGGCTCATGACATTCTTTCTACAGACAATTGCAACGGTTTGTATGTTCCTTGCTGGAAAGGTTGAAGAAACTCCTCGCCCACTTCGGGATGTAATTCTAATTTCATATGAGGTTATTCATAAAAAGGATCCATCTACTGTCCAGAGAATTAAGCAGAAGGTATCCTTAAGTTTTAATTTTATTAATTTGCACTGTCGACATCCCTACCTCTATTTTTTTTTTTTTTGTACCTCTATTGTACTATTGCACTAGTGATTTTATGGTTCTATTTTCATTTGCCTTTTTCTCTCTTCTTATCTTGGTGCATTTTGTTTTTGCTACATACATGCCAATCAATTCTTATATATTTACATATCTAACACTTAAAATTATATATTTAATTGCATGCCACTCAAATTTTTGACATCACGTCAAAAATACATTATCGTCAACTTTTTAAAAATAAAATGCACATTTTCATGCATAATTTTTTAGTACAACAACAAGAACAACAACAACAATAACAAGCACTTGTTATAAATATAAATATTAAACTTTTGGCGTTAGAAATGTAAGAATTGTATGGTATGAATGTAAATTTTCCTGATTTTTTTTTTATATTTCCTATAATGCTTTATTATTGTCCTTTTTCAGGAAGTTTATGAACAGCAGAAGGAGCTCATCTTATTGGGGGAAAGACTCGTTCTTGCTACTCTTGGTTTTGATCTGAATTTACTCCATCCATATAAACCTCTTGTAGAAGCTATAAAAAAATTTAAGGTGGCCCAAAATGCTCTTGCTCAAGTAGCATGGAATTTTGTCAACGACGGGTATTCTACTTCTCTTATACTCCATTGCTGTGCACTTCTGTCCTCCCTCTTATTCAATCAAGTCGTGCAGGTTGCGGACATCATTGTTTTTGCAGTTTAAGCCACACCAAATAGCTGCCGGCGCCATTTTTCTAGCAGCTAAGTTTCTTAAAGTGAAGCTTCCATCTGACGGCGAGAAGGTTTGGTGGCAAGAATTCGATGTTACGCCAAGGCAGCTCGAAGGTTGACCCTTCATTAAATTGCTTCGCTTTTGTGGCATAGGAGAAATCTTATTAGAATGAAGTGCCAAAATAATCCCGACTATTTACATGATGTCATTTAGTCCCCGTCTAAGAGTATTAAATTAGTCCTGAGTCTCTTTTAATATATGCCGAAAAAAGTCCTTCAGGGAACTATTTTGGCTCCCATTAAAAGAATATGAGGATTAAATTGATATTTAATAGGCTCAGACTAAAAAGACCCCGTACAAAGAGTCACATATCATTTTGACACTTTTTTCAATCTTATAATTTACATGGAAAATTTTTCCTACTGATTCCTTGTAGATGTCAGCAATCAAATGCTAGAACTTTACGAGCAAAACCGTGCTGCACAACCATCTCATGGTAATGAAGCTGAGAGCAGCAGCGCAGCTGGAACCGCCGGTACTGCTGGATCTGTTAATCCACCGGCGGCATCCTCAGCTGTCTGCAAGAATCCAGCTCCATTAAACGCTCGGGAAGCAGCACAAATTCCTCAAAATAAGCCCCATGGAACACAGCAGGCAAATATTGATGGTAACTCTGTTTTTCCTCATGAAGCACAGAATTACAGCAATGAACATTTGACTGTTGATAATAAGAGCAATTCCTGGGAACACAATAAGGATGGTGACGGGAAAGACGTTCAAAACTATGAAGCTGTAAGTGGGGCCACTAGCGAGAAGGACAATGCTGTGGAAGCCATGACGAAGATTGACAAGGATAAAGTAAAAGCAGCTCTGGAGAAGCGGCGAAAGCTCCGAAATGTTTCATCAAAGAAAAATGCGGTTTTTGACGAGGATGACCTTATTGAAAGGGAGCTTGAGTGGTTTCGGTGGATAGGATACGAAAGGAGGAGAGAGAGAGCTGGCCCAAACCCCTCCTCCGTCGGCCAGGGCAACCACCTCAGCAGGGAAGGTTGAAACCGAGATCTTTCGCAATGGAAGATGGAAAGTCTGATGATATTGGCCGTGAAGAGAACACCGAGGAAGGGGAGCTATCCTCTCTGGACGAGCACGAGTTTCCTTTTCATAAGTTGCAGGGCAACAATGGCAAAGTTTTGAGCGTGAAGAGACGAACGGATGAGAAAGGATTGCCAGAATATTCAGAAAGAGATCTTAAAAGAGTGAGATGAGAAACTTGATGTTAAATGTTTGTGCTGCTCTTATGTAAGGAGGAGGTCAAATATTTCATATTTCTATGGCTGAGTGATGGAGCAACTATGAGGTATATAGTCTACAAATATATGGTTTGCCTTATTAGATTGATGATGCGGGAGAGGCTGTTCACAAGAATTTGCGTTTTATGCTTCTTAATTCAGCCTTGAGTACATCCTATTCATATTTTGATGTTTCAGTTGAACATTATGAGGAGAGATGTAGTCTTCTTTGTCCATATCAGTGAACTTTTTTTCTAGTAAGTGCCTGTTTGTTGGCTGCAAAAGAATTGCACTGCATTTCTATTGCAGTGGTTTTTAAAATCCAGGAGTTTGGTCTGAAGGATCCCAAATGCAATCTGTGAAATAGCGCTGCATTTGGAATTCATTCTTTAGTTGGTTGGTTTTTGTGTGCGTGTGTGTGCGTGTGTGTGCGTGTGTGTGTTTTTTTGTGTGCGTGTGTATGCGTGTGTGTGCGTGTGTGTGCGTGTGTGTGCGTGTGTGTGGAATTCACTGAATTTGGATGAATTCGTAAATGTTGAATGCCGCCTATTGTTGGCAGCTGCCACCTCTTCACCGCCGTCCGTCTACCATTTGCCGACCATATAGTTAACGCTGTTTTTGTTTTACTTCATATCAAATAAAAAAATATGAAATTCTGCATATATTTTACTTTGAATCAAATAACTCCAAAATACTCTGTATACAATACATTTTTTCTCCATTTTATTTATTTTATTTTATTTTATTTTTTGTTTCACACAAGTCAAACAAACCCCATAAAGTGTAGCAACAATATTGAGATAGGTCACTGAAATGGGCTCTTGCAATGAACTTGGACTTGAATAGAACTATTGAACCCATAGATTCATAATTTATATGAATCATATACATGAGACGCCATATTTAAATGAAAGAAAGAGGATAATAAATAAAGCAAGGCTCAAATCTTTGATGTCTTGCTTGCCTTTCATGTAAATGAAGTCTGTTCATGTGTGCTCCCTTTTTTTTTTTTGAACTTTTTTGGCAAATTTACACATAAGTTTTATCTATTTACATACATACATATATATATATCAAACATTAAAGTTTGATATTTATGCTTATAATATTTTGATGTCATAAATTTTAGTTTAATATTTTATATTTCATTTTTTTGATGTGATGTCGAGAGATCCGAGTCATTTATAAATAGAGATGGGTTGTGTGGTTTGTATTAGATGATCATTTTCACTAGCAATTTAAGACACAAACTTAGTTTATTTTTACCTAAAGTTTATTATAATTACTTTCTTAATTCATGAATCAAATACTATTGTCATAGAGTTTAAAATAAAAAATAAAAAATAAAAAAAAAGGGAAAAAATGTTGCTTTGGGAAAATATCTCCTAAAAGAAGGACAAGTTGATGAGAATAGGAGAATTTTGAAAAAGGAATTTAGGTACTTCCAAGTTCAAGCCATTTACCTTTGCACAAGGTTGAACCAATCATTGTTTTAATTGTGAAGGGGATTTGATTATTGAATAAGTGAAAGATAATCCTACACTAGCAAGGTGCTTAAGCGCAATTTCTAAGATGATTATGTGTGATAAGATCGCAAAAATTTGACTCGAAATCGATAAATTTTTTTTGAATTCAGGTGTATGATCCACGTTAAATTTGGTTCATGTCAAGTAGGGGTTTAGATATTGTTAGAGTTGAATTTAGGTCGACCAAAAATAATGAAAAGTCCTATTTATAAATATTAGCTTAAATAATTTTTTTTTTATTTTATTTCATTTTTTAAGTTGTATGAATTAGAGAATTGCATTAATTTTGTATCGAGCTTATTGGAGTCAATAAATGACCTTACACGAGACCTACCAAGAAATCTGAGTTCAGGTTGAGTCGGTTAACATTGGGGTGGTATTCAAGTTTAGAATATTAACATATTTAACCTAAAATTAACCCAAAATGCATTTATTTTTAGTAAAATGAACATTATGCTTTATGTTAAACATGTTACTCGGATTGGATCCAAATCAAGTAGTAATTTGATTAACAAAGTAGTTCCAATTTCATTGAAAAACCTAATTCAATTCATGAATAAATTATCATCTTTCATTTCTAAGGAGATGACTAAAAATAACCTTAGAATGAAAAAATTCAAAACCTATATCCACTCAATTAAATTATAGAAGCCATTAGCCCCAAAAATTCCTAATATTTCCTTGTTTTGCTAGTTTTTTGTTCATCAACCCTCTCATTCAAGAGAAATTATTGCGTACGGACACCGCATGCATCTCTGCATGCGGTGTTCGATCCTGACCATAAATCACGGCGATCTACGGTCAGGATTATTTCCGTTTTTGTTTAAAAAGAAAAAAAAAATTTAGGTAGGTCCCACCGAATAGGTGGGTCCCACCGAAATACATCCGGACCGTAGATCAGGTGATAGGTAGGTCCCACCGAAATATATCCGGACTGTAGATCACGTGATTTACGGTCCGGATCGGACACCGCATGCAAGCTGCGGGCGGTAATTAATCCTTGGGCCACCATAATTTGATTCATGCCGTTACCT